CCCAGACGCCACCCGTGTCCCAGCCGAGGGTGCCGCTCCCGCCGGCGTCGAGGGCGTGGCGGCCAAGCTGCGAGCGTCCGGCGCGGCTCTGGACTGAGTCCGGCTCCTGGTAGCCCCGTCTGGCCGTCGGGCCGCTCCGCTCCCTCCCGCTTCCGTCCTGCGGGGCAGGGCGCGCAGGTGAGTCTCCCTCACAGGGCGGGGCTGGTGCCCGGCGTCGCGGAGCCTGTTTGCGGGCGACAGAGGTGGGACACTGGGCGGGAGCAAAAAGTTAAAAAAAAAAAAAAAAAGAGGCCGCCCAGAGCTGCCCGCGAGGGGTGGGTTCCCGTGAGCCGAGACGCTGCCTCCTGCGCCAGCCCTGGTCTCGCCCAGGGTTTTCTCTGGCACTTGGTGGTGTCCTGGAAAACAAAACCAAAATTAAAAAAAAAAAAAAAGGTTTCTTCTTCCACCAGCAACAGTTCTCTCCAGCCAACTGTTTTTGACTTTTTGACAAGCTGACAGGCCCAACCCATCCTTGCAGGCAGGACAGGTGCAGTCAGGCACAGCCTGGAAGGTGGAAGCCCCTTCTCTCTTTTCTCTCTCGCCCTTTCCTCCACGATGCTCGGAGAACCGTCGCATGAGTTAGTCCCTAACTTCTTGAGACTTGTTTATCTGCTTCCCGTCCACTGCTAGGACAGGTAGAAAGCAACAGAGGTCTGCTTCCAGGTTGCTTTGTGCCTCTTCCGAGCAAAATCTCATCATCTCCTTTAAAGATTAGGATTCTAGAGTAGGAAGCAGTTCGGCTTCGTGTTTCAGATACAAACTAGGATTAAAATGATGTTGTGCTGGAGTGCTCAAAACCAAAAATGATGTTCTGCTGGAGTGCTGAAAACCAAATACTGAAAGCTACCTAGTACGCCAAATTTATTTGAACTTCTCATAAACGTTTCTGATGGGCTGTTTGGCAAGAGAAGCAACTGATTTGTCTGTAGCTGTGATTACATGTGACTTAGAACTTTCATTAGCTTTGGTTCAATATGGTAAAGTATATAAGCATATAATAATATTCAGAATCTAGCTATTTTGTGCATCAAGGCAAATTTGTTGGTTTTGGTGGGGGAGTTTGTACTGGTACTCTAGAAATGGACTTCTCTATGAGTGAAGATTGTGAAAAACCTGAAAACTAAAGAGCCCTTTCTTGGGCGGCGCCTGTGGCTCAAAGGAGTAGAGCACTGGCCCCATATGCCAGAGGTAGTGGGTTCAAAACCAGCCCCAGCCAAAAACTGCAAAATAAATAAAGAGCCCTTTCTTTAGCCATGTCATCATTTTCACATTTTACTGCATTGGCAAGCCATTTCTTTCTTCACCTGGGAAGAGATTTCAGTGCATTTAGGGGAAACAAGATTGTTCCTGTTATTGAAATGTAACATTTGTCAAGCTTTTAAATATGGGACCGTTGGGGTAAGGAAATGAGGACAGATTTCATCTGGCTTTGGAGTTGTTGGTTGAAAGAGTTAAACATCATGAGAAATACTGTGACTTGGAAGCCCTGTAAAATAGTGGAAGCTGTGAAGTTTAATACTGTTTTCTATTTAGACCTAAAAAAAAAAAAAAAAAAGGAAGGTGAAGGTTAGCCAGTGCTCTCCACATTTTCCCTGGAAAGTAGAGGTTATATTGAGAGGAAATCAGGTATTTCTACTCCAATTATTCTTTATTAAAGCTTGTTCTTTTCATATGTTTTGGCAGTTGATTTGGTTTATTTCTGTTGTTGTTTGTTTATTTCTGTTCTCTATCTCATGCTAAGAAGTGTCACTATTCCTGGTGTAGCAGGAACTTTGATAAGAGCAATAACAGGATCAATTCGAGATTGCTTATAAAAACAGGGCATACATCATTGAAACATAGAAAATACAAAAATCAAATTTTCACCGCTGTTCTTTACTGTTGCACCAAATTCTTTTTTTTTTTTTTCACTATACTACTAAAAATATTAATAGTAGAATTCTACCTGTAAGTGGTGAATTAGGAGAGAGTGGAAGGTAGGGGCTTCATGGCAGCCGTTCAGACCCCCACATTGACCATCCTGTTTATGTTTTTAAAAAATTAGTCAAAATTTATAATTTAGAAGTAATAAATTTAGCCATTTCAAAGCATCTGTGAGTGTTTGTTTTATATATAAGAGAACCAGTATGGAGAAGCCAAGTGATTTTTCCAAGGTTATTCAGCAGGGCACCCGGAGAGCTGGAAATGGAGCACTTGTTTGCGTCCATCATTGCTCAGTAGCATTAAAAAATTTAAAAATGCATGTAGGGAAGCATATTCTTTTGAAGAATTATTTTTTTAAAAAAATCACAGAGGAGAATTTACCTTTTCCTGATTAGAACAGAAAATGCAAGCTCAACTCCACATGCTTGACATTTTGCCTTGATGGATTACTTTTGTCAAAGGGCTTGTTCCAGCGGAGCAGATGGTCATGCTACTTGGAGTTTTCCACTCATTTGATGTTTCCATGAAGAAACAATTTGCCAGAAGCCAGCGGCAGCTACAGTTGCGCCAGAGATGATACTAAACCCTGATTAGCACAGACCTTTGCTTACAGAAGCTGGTGCATGTTGGTTCAGCCTTTTCTGCTGGGCCAGTCTTGGTTATTAGCAGGGAACAGCTTCATTTGCTGATAGTTGGAGTAGGGCAAAGTTAGCAACGCCTCTACTAATAACAGCTTAGCAATATAATTTTCTGCTGTAGTGAAAACGAGTTATGAGCTGAATTGCCTTGTATGTTTTCTTTATGTATTTCTGTATTCAAATTTAACTGCATTTATCATGTCTGAAAGTTATGGAATTGATCACAGTGTTAAGCTGTATCTGAATAATCTTTGTGACTTGGCTTTAGCAAAAAAAACCCATCATGTGAATAATAATGTCTCATACTGTATGCGTTGTATTATGAAGTAAAATTCTGTAAGGTACCGTAGAAAGGCAGCATAGCCTTTTTTCACCTCTCCCTCTGTTTTTAAATCTTGAGATGTTTTTATTCTGGAGCCACATTACTACCTCCAGTGATTGCTCTAGAGCTCATTTTATTGACACATCTGATACTGAATCGTTTTCTTGAAATGATATAAAATGGGTTAGTTTTTGTAGCTTGGAACTAGATTATTTGGGGATGGGTTTTTCTCATTTTATTGTGTTAATATCAGTTCTACCAGTGGTTCTGCTATGCTTGGGGTCTTGTCACCCCAACAGTGCATTAACATAGATTGTGCCTATGAAAAATAATTACTGAGCACTAACTGTACGCAAAGCATTATTCTGAGCACGTAGCATGCATTCTCGCATTTAATCTTCCTAATATCCTTATTGGGTAGGGATTATTATTATTATTCCCATCTTTTAGTTAGGGAAACAAGCAGAAAAGCTAAGTAATTTACCCAATAATTTTGGAGAAGCCAGAGTTCAAATCTAGGAAGTCCGATCATGGAGCCTGAACCTTTCTGGAGTACATATAAGGACTGTTCATACTTGCTTGCGGTTACTGTGGTTACATTGTGGTTATTTCAGCAATGCATCCCTTTTTTTTTTTTTAAGTGTATCAAATATATAGCAAGGTATATGTGAAGAAAACGTAGCAATGCTGTAAAGATTATTGAAATATCTTGGAATAAAAGGCACATAATTTAACAATAATATAAAGCATTTGAAGGCAAAAAAAGTATATAGGACAATATTGGGATAACCAACGAATTTGAATATAGATTATGAATTAGATAACGGTATTTTGTCACTGTTAAATTTCCTATTTTTGATAATATTGTGGGTTATGCAGGAAAATTATCTTGTTCTTACACATTAAAGTATTTGGAAGTAAAAGTAGACTGCATCTTACTTTCAGTGGTTATAAAAGACACATATGAAAATAGAGAATGATAAAGCAAATGGGCAAGATATAAGTAATTGGTAACTGGGTAAAGGATACAGCATACACAGGTTCCTTCTACTGCTCTTCTAACTCTCGTCTGAAGCTACGTTGAAAGAAAAAGGTACACAAAATTGAAGGTAGAAAACAGGAAATGAAGGTATAATATTCTAAGAATTTTTTTTAAGTCAAATGAAGGATTGTTTCCTGTATTGTCTCTCTGGTGTTTTTAAGAGTTAGCGGAGGAAACTTGAAAAACCAAAAATCTTATCAAAAATCTGTGGCCTTTCTCAAAGTTCCAAATCTAGCCATTCCGAGCTCCCCAACTTGCCAGCCTCCAAAAAACCAGACATGGTATTTTCCTTACCTCTTTTTAGAGGGTGGGAGAGAAGGGGATAAAAACACTGGTGCTTCTGGACAGCCCATTTTTAGTGATACTAAAAGTTAAATTGCCTTGGGTTTATGATTTTCCTGCCTGAAAACCTTCAGTGGCATGCTGGTATTGACTGGTTTTTACATCAGAATTCTGTAACCCTCTTTTCATGGCAGCCTGGCCCAGATACACCTTTCTGCCTTTGTCTCATGCCACCCCCACCAGGCACATTGCATGGCAGCCACACCAGCTCAAGAGGCCTTTGTACATACGGGTCTTTTTGTCTTCCTGCTTTTGTTCATACACCGTTGGCTTTGTCGGGAATCCTCCCATTCTCTTCCTGCTGAAACTTTATTCATCCTTAAAGTCTCACCATAACCTGTTTTGGGAATCTGTCTCTAATCCCATGCAGAATTAAATTTTCCTTTGTGCTGACATACCAGTGGGGTGATCACAATGCTGTCTGCTTTTATTCAGCAGTCCTTGTTACAAAGCATATACTGTGAGCTGGAAACCATGCCAGGACCTAGAGATTCAAAGACACTCACAGTCTGGGAGGTAGGAATCATTTATAGACAACACCCATAATGTAAGTATGTAACAGAAGGATAAACAAAGTGTTGTAAGAACTTCAGACTCTCCCTGACAGTTTAACCTTGAAGAAAAGATTGTAATGAAAGCCTCGGTGAGATATAATACCATCCTTTCTCCTAACATTGGAGATTTCTGGCACAATAATGAAAGGGATAAATTAAAAACAATTGTATGATAGTATCTGGGGGCTACCCAGGTAGATATGTTTGATAGAAAACTGAAAATACAAGACTAGAAGTCAGGGGAGAAGTTGAGTCTCGGTACATAGATTTGTAAGTAGTCCTATAGATCAGTGATTTTCAGTGCATATAAGCAGGAA